ACATTCATTCATTTTAAAGCTTTGATCCTTCACTGTTATATCTATAGAAGATTATATATATATAAATTCATTTATCAGGAACATTTATGCCATCCCGTTAAATAGCAGTGAGAAGACAATATAGTTTAGAATGAATGCTTAGTTATAGCCTGCTCCAAAGTGGTAACTTTCTGTGAATTTTACATAATTGTCTCTTGTTTCTTTCATGTAGCAACATTATAAATACATGTTTCCACCAATCTGTGACTTTTACTTTCAGATGAAAAAATCTACTATAGAATTAATCATTTTTTTTCTGTTATTCTATGAATAGTTATTTGTAAAGGGTTGGTTGTAATATTGTAATTTAAAAAATTTAAGAGATATTTGCTATTTATTGATACTATTTTCAAACAATTCTTGGGTTGGTTTATATAGGAGCCCTCCAAAAGTTTTATCTTCAAGATTAAATTGCAAATTTACACTCAGAAATTTGCTCAGCACCAGCCCTGAACCTACTCCTTTTTTTCTCCCTTTCTCAATTGTGTAGACAGTTGCTAACATGAATTTAAAATTCAACATGAATGTCTGGGATGTGGGGGGAAGCATGCCCATTGAAATTTATCTGGTCTTAATCTGGATTTAGGGGCTCAATTGAATAGAACTGCATTATGCTTGAACAACTGAAGTTTCTATTATTTTAAAACATTTTAAATAGAAAACAACACCAATGTATGCTGAATATTTTCTTGTACATTTTTTGCTTTTACTTAGTATTTTTGATATTTTACAGATCATTTAATTGTCACTGTGCATGAAATTATAATTATATGTTAGCATTTATATTTAACAGGTCTTGTGATACAGTGGTGAGATTGTTTATTTTCTTAAACATCAGAGACCAGAGTCCTAGTTCTGGCTCCAACTGACCTTGTGTTGGTCTCTGAAACTCTTTTTTTTTTTTTTTTTTAAATCTATAATATTAGAGTGATGGTCTGATTTCTAAGGTAATTACACAAACAAAAAATTCTATCATCCTTACTAAAATATACTATTTCTTTCTTATAGAAGCAACTGTCAACAAGCTGATGCATGTGAACCTTCCCAATTCTCAATAATTAGATTTCTAGGTCTTCATATAATTCCCAGGGTTGTATATTTATACTGTTGTTTATAACTATCACTAATTTTCTTCCTATTCATTCTTTCTTTTAATTTCAAGGGAAAGCTGTTCTTAGGGAAACTCTGACAAACTCAGTTTAAAAATATACTGGTTCATAGTTATGAAATCTTGAAGGAAACTTCTAAGATCTGATTACACTTAGGTTGGCAAGTAATCATGATAGATGGATCTTATTACCATCAGACTGTTTGTTGTTTTTGTTTTTACCACTCAGTTCTCCAGGCTGTACCTATGTATTCCGAAAAGCAATCAGTCCAAAAATAGAACCTAATTGTTTAATTTAGCAAATATTTTTGAGCACCTACTATATGCCAGTCATTGTGCTAAATGTTGAGGATGAAATTATATACAAAGGTCCCTGGCATTGAGTAGATTATTTGGGGGACACATAACCAGTGCTAACTGAATAAATGAATATACTTATGAATGAATGAATGAAACATACCCTTAATGCACTTAAGATTTATGATAGGCAGATAAGATACAAAGGTTCAGTTTAGCTCTTTTTCATAATAATTTATTGAGCATTTTCTATGTGCCAGACATTGGGCCTAGCTTTTAAATTTTTTATTAGGGAAATAAAACACCAATGAAAGTTGATATAGCAAGGCAAGAACCACTATATGGATTATATTCTTAAGTACTTGCCAAGAGACATAAATCCCAAGTGCTATAATGTGTGCTGGAGAGCTGGATCACTGTGCTTTATTTAGCACAAATTTTTTTTTTGTCTAAAGTTTTACATATGTCTTCTTTTTAGCACAAATGTAATTTTGATCCCAAAACTGTTATAGGAGTGATATATAAAGTTATTGCAGTGCAGGGACAAGAAAAAGAAAATACTAGGACTTCAAATGCTATTCAAAAGCTAGATAAAGCTGGATTCTGGTACATAGTGCCAAAATGAGGAAAGATACAATATTTAGTTATTGCATAGTAGTAATAAAAGTAATAATGATGATAACTATAACAGCTGTGTTTCATACTGAACTTACTAAATATCAAATGTCGTCCTGAGTGCCCCATATACATCACCTGATTAAATTTTCCCATAGTCCTTGGAGATGAACATTCCTATCCCCATTTTGCAGATAAAGAAACTGAGTTTTAGAGAATGAGATAAACAGCTTAAGACTTGTGGTCAAAACTCTCTAGCTATTTTGGTCTGCTAGTTGCTAACTTTGTTCTTTCTGCAACTTCTTAGGAAACTGCTTGGTATAAACACTAATTATAGCTTAATATAAGAACAGCTTTTAAGACTGCAAGCCATAAAAGAAAATTTTTTTAAATATACATTTTATTGATTTTGTACAGAGAAGAAGGAAGAGAGATAGAGAGTTAGAAACATCGATAAGAGAGAGTCATCGATCAGCTGCCTCTTGCACACCCCCTACTGGGGATATGCCCACAACCAAGGTACATGCCCTTGACTGGAATCGAACCCGGGACCCTTCAGTCCCCAAGCCGACGCTCTATCTATTGAGCCAAACCGGTCTTGGCCATAAAAGAAATTTTTGTTAACCTCTTTCCAAAACTCAGAAATATAACTTTTTCATGGCAATAATGACAACAATTTCAGAGAATTCTAATGGAATATCAAATATGAGTCTATTTTGTAAAGTGTATATGTACATATGCATACTTATTCCTTTATATATATATATAATATCATTGCAAGAGTAACATGAAGGAGGTGGCAAAGATTAATTGGTGGTTTTATGGAACTTGCAAATTGACATGTTTAGAGACTAACACCTGCATGGTATCTTTATAGCAAGAAGTATAAACGTTTCTAAATCTGAATGAGGAACATAAAGGAACCCATAATTTTTTCATTCTCCCAAAGGCAAATATAATACAGGGAGGGAAGGATGGAGAAAAGCAGCTGCAAGGAGGCTATGATAGAATGTCTGATACTCAGCTTTGACAACTGTAAAAACATATTTGATCACTGATGTCATTACTGGAAAGGCTGATACAGTGCTCTGGGTTTGTAGATAACACAATCTCTCCATGCTTCTAGAGTTGTCATTTCTAATTTTTTAACACAAACTTGCTGCCAAAGTTTATTTACATTTATAACCATATATTAGAAAATTGGTGTATATACAAAACATGGACATAGTTTTAATTAATTTTTTTGTTGCAGATCATAATTTGAATTCAGAGCTTCTTTTCTTTGAATCACAAATAAAACTAAAGTTGGTAAATGTTATAAAAAGGAAGTCATGGGGGTAATTTCTTTTCATTGTTTCAGTTACAAGAAAATAATAATGAATAAGGTGAGCATATATCAGTGAAGCTGAACAAGTGAGCACATCTTCCCATATACATAACAATTTTAAAATATGCTTTGGATTTTTGTCTCAATGTAATTTAGTAGAGAGAGAAGGTGATTTGGTGCATGACATTTCTGGTAACAAGTATCTGTTATCACAGTAATTGTGTGACTTGAAGGTAGTACCTTAATCATTGGTCCTGTCTTATCTTTTATTCTAGATGAGAATGTCAACTTTTCAGGGTTGTAGTAGAAGTCCAGGGGATATGTATGAAGCAGTAAACACTGTGTTTATACTAAGTGTTGAATAAATGGATGCCTGTGAAACAGGATATCAAAAGAAGAATAAAAAAGAGATATTAGTAATAGAAAAAACAATGCAATTGATGAAAAGATGATTTTAAATGGTGAGTAGTAGGAGAGGGAATAAACATGTCAGAAACCAAAACATTAAAAGATAAGGACACTCAGTAGAAAAGTTTGTGCAGATAGTACTATTCTGTCTTTTGGAATTGTGTTTCACAAATAAACACAGTGCCCCAGAAAAGAAAGAGAGGAGAGAGAGAGAAAGAGAGAAAAAGAGAAAGAGAGACAGACAGAGAAAGAAAGAGAAAGAGAGAAAGAGGGAGAAAGAGAGTGAGAGAGAGAGAGAGAAAGGGGAGAAAACAATATTAAGCTATGGGAAAATTAAAGAAAAACATGAAAATTAGATTAAATATGAAATTTTTGTTAAAGGCAGTTTAACAATAGAGAGAAGACAAAATGATAAAACAAAAGCCCCGAAAGTCTTGAAAAGAAAACCAAAGAAAAACAAAGATACATGGGAAAGACAGAAAAAAAGACAGAAAATAAAGGGTTCAAGCATTCACAGGCTTAATACATAGAACAGGCACAACTCTGCTATTAATTTTGACAGTAAAAATACATCTGAATCAAGCAGATTTACTATAGGAAAGGGCATGCATGATGTTAAAAATCAATGATTTTTAAAATTCTCAACTTAAAATAGGATATTATATATAAGCATGATATATGTGTCTGTGTTTTAAAATGCATAGGGACTTTGGGGGTTTTGACATGGGGAAATCACTTTATTTCAGTGTAAGATGACCTGATTACATGCTAGAAATGAAAAACTTGATTATTTACTCATTCATGCAATTTGAAGATATTTTTCAAATTACAGTTATGACATAGATAAGAGTAGAGATCTTATCTAGTTAAAAATGTCCATAAAGTTTCATTTTGCTGAGTGGATAAAACAATAACAATGGAAATTTTTTGTGAATCAGTCCTTCCTCTCCTAAAAAAAAAGTAATGTGTATATCTGCTACAAATCTAAAGGCAAATAGAGTTGTTCCTGTTCACTTATCCTTGCAATGAAGCATCTGCTCACTATTTCTTGCTGCTGTTATTTCTTTTCTGAAAGCTTCAATTAAAAAACATCATCCTGCCACCTTTTTAGTTGTTAAATTTTCCTGTCCTTGTGGCTATATCTCTGTGCACCAGAGAAAAGATCTCTTTAACAAAGTAGATGTGTGTGTCCTTAACACCGAGTCTCTTGGCTTACAGCTGGAGGCAGCTTTCTGCTCAGGCCACTGTGGAGAATGACATAGGCAGACGACATCATCACTGAGCAGTAACTTCTATTACATACAGGCAGACTGTGATATTTCAGAATCGGGGCAAGACATGAGAGAAGCAAAGGTAATCCTTCTGTTTCTATATCCAGTGTTTGCAAGAATCAAATATTTCCATCTGGGAGGGACAGTTAGGCAAAAGCGGGAGAGGGTTGGATTTTGTGCTAAACTGTAAACCAGTAAATAAATTCATCAATCTGTAAGAAAATAAAAACTAAACACAGAAAGAGAAGAGTCTCTGATATTTTTAAAAAATAAAATTTTCATGCAAAATGAATACTGTTTTGGGATCAATATAACAAGGGGGTGTGCTAGTGAAGGTTTTGTTATGGAGAAAGTAAACTGCAGGCTGATATCTGGTCATGAGAGGAAGAGTTTTTGTCTTACTGGAATGTCCAAGTTAGAAAGGACTTTAGAGATCACATAGTTTGTTGTGAATGATCACATCTAAAACTTTTATTTTTAAAAAAGGAGTAGCTGCAAAGTTTTGGACAAGACCTCTATAGGCAACTGGAAGCATAGTGTACCCAGGTGGTGTGTCTCTGACAATATATTTTTCTGGCTGTAAAGGGAATAAAAACCCCATGTAATCTCCAGCGGTGACAATTTAATCAGTTGTAAAAGGGGAAGAAGCAGTCTCCTCATTTTCATATTTGCATATTTGATTTTTGCATTGGGGAATAGAGGTTGTTTTTCTATTACTTCTCATTCAATTTTATGAGCAAATTTTTACAGTGGTAGGAAATATCCAGTCAAATTGGTCTAAGAGAACGATTCCATTTTGGTTATAAAGCAAGCATTCAAAGCAGGATGCTTTGTGAAAGATTTTTTTTTCCTGCACAGACTCTATATACTAACCATGGTTTGCTTGCTCCCAGCTACTGCATGCGATGCATCTGCTATGAGCATTCACAGATCCACCCTGAAAATGAAGACAACTGTTTGGAGAACAATGAAAAATAATGAGGACTGTACCACAACATGCCCCGTTTTTGTTAATATTTTTTAAAAGGTAAATCTTAATAACTGCCTCTATTTCTAAGCAAGCAGTGTTTCTAAAATGCAATATATACACAGAAGTCAGTTTTTATGAGAAATAAATTAATAAAATTCCATTGATTTTATCTTTGAAAGAATAATTTTATTGCCCATAATGTAGTAACAGATTATAGGATATATTTTAAGATAAATATGATACAAGTAATTTGTAGTTATCATCACTTACCTTTGTGTGACTCTCATGAATATTTTAAAAATCTATTCAAAATAATGTTGGGTTTAAATTTCTGGAACATGGGTAACTACTTTTTAATGCATCCATACATGTTAGCCTCTACTTGTGAAAGCCCCTAAAACATTGGATAATTTAAGAAAAAACAAAACAAAACAAAAAAGGATAGTATTCTACTAGCTTGATGATATAGATTTTTTTTTTTTTATAAAAAAGGAACTCCGAAGCAAACATTTCATTGGACAAGGAAAAAGGGATTGTTTTGATTCTATATAATTTTACAAAAAGAGAAAAAAAATTAAACAAAAGTTTTGAAATGTTATGTACATTAAGATTTATGTATAAATTCACATATTCATATGTGTATGTGTGAGTGTGTATTTATGTATGTAATGTGGCTAACTGTTGCTAATCAATTTCTATGAGAAATAACTAAACTTGGAATTCTGAAAAGATGAAGCCATAGCATTTTATTAGGGTAGAGAAGATTGTCTTTTTAATTTGCATCCATGCAAAGTGCACCAGTAGTACCGTAGCAGTATGCAGGCATGTATAATCATTAGATAGAAGTATAAGATGCTTTGAGTATGAGTATGGATTCCCATTAAATTAAAGCACAGAATACGATGTTTTTAATGTGTTCTTGTTTATTTAAATCTGCATTCTGATGATCACACTTTCAAAGAGGTTGCCAATATATAAATATGTGATCCAATGATTACCTATTCAGATTACCTATTCAATGATTACCTATTCAGATTAATCCAGTTTCTTTGAATATGGTCTAATGATTGAATGATCCTTCAAACACTGCAACTCCTCAGGCAAATATGCTAATTCCTCAGCACATTTTCTCAAGGCCTTGGGAGTACTAGATCTGCCAAGGAGTACCTTGAAGCGTGGAAACTCTGCTCTACCTAAACACAAGTCCTAGGTTTTAATCACAATAGCTAGGTTCACACTAAGGCGATTAATCATATGATTGCTTTCAAGGAACCCAACCTCATCAGTATTTTTCCTTCAGGCCAACTGACAAGGCTGGATAGAGTAAAATATTTAAGTGGATTTGATTGCCTAAGAGGCACAACTCCCAATGCAGAGTAAGAACATTCATCCTCAATCTGCTTTTTAGAAGTTGCCACATCACAAGCAACCCTTCAAATTTAAATGATTAAGGTAAAATAGTTATTCTATTAAACTGTTAAGGGTTGACAATTATCATTAGAAAGAGACCAAATGATATGTTTTATAGTTTGTTGAGATTTTTCTAGTGGGGGTTTAGAGTTGGTGTGTTTTTTTGTTCTTTTTGTCAGGGGTAGGGAGTGAGCTTACCTACTTTACTTTAAAGTTTGAAAGAAAAAAAAATGCCAGAGGAATGTAATTTGTAGTTCAATAGGCAAATCTAAGTAAGGTTAGAAAGGTAGGGGTTGGTGTGTGTGTGTGTGTGTGTGTGTGTGTGTGTGTGTGTGTGTGTGTCTACATACAGACACATATATGTGCACTTTTTAAGGCTTATTTGACTTTGCAACTTCACTAGTCATTGCTGGACTTGGTGACATATTAAATATAAATGTGAAGCTTTCTAGCATTCTCTTCTTTGTAACGGAAATAAGTGGTTTTCGCTGGTATAATAATAGGATTTGGGTTACTATCTATTAAAATTATTTCTCCAAAAGTGACATATTAAAGAGTTTTTAATGTTTTTCTACCTTAAAAGTTGAGTTAAATACAAGATCAGAACAACAGTTTTCCAATGAGTATGTCATTTCTCAGAAGCACTTGTGTAGATTATCCTAATTATTCCTAGATGCAATAGAAATGCTCTGGACAACAAAGGACAAAGCTTCCCCAAATACTAAAGAATTCATACTTCCATTTTTCATTGGCTACAAATCAAGAAGGTTTTGTTGTCTGGTAAGCCTCACTGGAGCTGCATCTTATTCTGGAAGGCTAATGCAATTATTGTAATGAAAAACTTGTTAACATTATGAGGGTGACTCATTAAAATATTTCTATAATTTGGAACCAATAGTTAATTTTATCACCTTCACTAACAGAAGTTACACTGATGGACTTCCAGTCTTGATCATGGTAGGAATCTTTTAGTGTAAAAGCTCTTAGACAATTTAAATGGAGATCTTTTTAAAAGGCATTGGAATGATTTTTCTTAAACCAGAGAAGACTATCAAAGTTGCTGAAAACTTATTTCTGAATTTTACTTTTAAGCACCAAAATCCAGTGCTTTCTTATGCTCAAATACTTTGATGGATGATAGAATAGTTTACCTGGTGACTTGGCAAATTGTGTCCCAATCAAAGTTAACATTGGTCCTAGCTCCTCAAATTCAAAGCAGAGTGTTCTGAGAACCTGGGTAATCTGCTGTATCTAGGGCACAGGAGGTAAAGTGCCCAGGGATCTGAGGGTAAAGCAATGCTGAGGACCAGATTCTCTTACCATCACTGAGGGAATCTATATAATAAAAGGATAATATGCTAATTAAACCAGATAGACAAGACATCTTCCAGACATCCTTTTGGACAAAGCCATGGTGGTGGGGGCTGAGACATAAATATTTAGGGGTGATATGGCAGGCATGCAGGGAAGAGCAGTGAGGGATGATCAGGCAGGCAGGCAGGCAGAGGTGGTTAGGGGTGATCAAGCAGGGAAGCAGGTGAGCATTAGGAGCCAGCAGTCCTAGATTGCATGAAGGATGTTTTACTGCTGGTTTAGGTGATATTGGACCTAAACTGGAAGTCGGACATCCCCCGAGGGGTCCCGGATTGGAGAGGGTGCAGGCCAGACTGAGGGACCTCCTCCCATGCACAAATTTAGTGCACTGGGCCTCTAGTAGAATATAGTTGTCCTTGCATTCCATAGAGCCTAGCCACCTATTTCTTCTGTTTTGTGTTCTTAAAGAAAAATAGACATATGTAAATAAATCTAAAGAAAATAGTTATGAAAAACTTTTGACAATATGGATTTTGATTACAGTCTGGTTGATGGCTAATTAAAATAAGAATGTGCCTGTATCCTCTCCCCAGTTGCTTCTGATTGCAGTAGAAGAGGCAGTGTCTTCCCACAGCCCGATACTCCTGTTCATTCTCCTTCTTCAGTCTATTCTTGGCTGTGGATTCCCCTGTGCTCTTTGTGCACTTTAAGTTTAATTTTGCATTTAAAAACTCAATTGGCTCATCTGTTAAGCATTAAGCAGCTCCCTTTTGAGCCACAGGGGGAGCCCTGGGAAAACCCACAGCTGCTAGAACATGGAAAATGGGTTTAAAAAAACAAAACCATTTTGAAACTTTAAAGCATTTTAGCAGCTGTGGATTTCCCAATCCTTACCCCCCAAATGGTTCATCTACTTAACTTTTATCTGGTATTGGAAAACACAAACCAGAGCATTAACTAGCCCTCAAATGACTTTTGTTTAATACAAAATGAAAATAAGAACTAAGCAAGTCATATGGGAGGATCTTTCAGAAAGCTATGGCCTGGAATACCTGCGAAGCATATTTTCCTTCCAGTTACAGAAACAATTCTGAAATCCAGTTATGCCTGCTGAAACCATAACTTTTTCTCCACTCACTTAGACACTGCTTTCTCTCACCAAGAAAGGGGGGTACAAGTCCAAAACAAGTCCAAATTCAAGCTTATAAAAATGACAATTTGATGAAAAAGTTAATAGAATGGGGATATTTATGAAATGTTTAATCAAGATATTAAGTTTCATAATGATTTGTCATTGACTAAAATTTCAGGTTTGATTACAATTGTATAGAAAACTTAAATTGTTATTATTATTTTTTATTGTTTTCCAAATATTCCTCAACTAACCTGAGTCTCCTTTTGGTAGGGTCCCAAGTCCAATAGTTAGATATAAATTTCTTTGAATGATGGCAAAATGTGAAAAAAAAAACAATATTTGGAAAGGTGACAACTGCAAACCTATTTTTTACTATTACTTCCAAATATAGAGAAAAGTTCCACATGGAAAAACAAAATGAAGTAGCACTCAGTGAATAGGAGAGTTGAAAAAGAGATGTTTCAAAAATTATTTTCAAAATATCTGTATTACTTTATTGCAGCATTGAAGATATCCAAATAGTCAGTTAATTATTAAACATTAAATTAATTTTTTTCTAATTTTGCTTCATCTCCATTTTGATTTTACCTGTTCCAATCTATCTTTCTTAAAAGCACCTTCATCTAACCCCCAAAAAAGCTTGAAATAAAAATAAAACAATTTTGTTTACAAAGAATGTATGTGACTTTTTCCTTCTCATTCATTTCTGCCCACTCAATACTTTATTATATAAACACCTCTCCTCTCCTCTATAATATTTTCTTTATTTTTTCAGTTTTT